TAAATAAACGTTGAAAAAAAAAAAATTTAAAAAAAAAAAGAAACGGATGTTAGTAGTGGTTTGACATTAATAATGCACTCAATACCACTGGACTATACACGTCACAATGATTAAGAGGGTAAATTTTATGTTATGTGCATTTTATAACAATAAAAACAACTGAAAAGGGGAAAACAGGCTTCTTGAGCAGGGTCATTAGCTTACAGGGTTTTTAATCCCATCTGATGTACCGTGCGTTGTTCTCGGCTCCTCCCAGAGAGGCGTCCCTCCTCCCACGCTTCATCACAGTGGTCCCATTCCATCCAGCAGTGGGTGTTTCTGACCCACCCCCAGACCTGGAGAGCGCTTCAGCCCTCAAAGTACAAACCTCAGAAAGGAAATAAAACCCCTGCCTTACCGGGGTCCAGGAAGGGCTGGCACTCCTCAGCGGCACCATAGCTCAGCTCCTGCAGCCCTGCCTGTGGGATCCAAGGCTCTGCCACTGGGCCCTCCGGGGCAGGTCCCATTACTTGGAGTGGGGGTGACTCCAGGTGGATGTTTGGTGGTACGTGTGCCGTTCCCACCGGTGCCAGTTCTTCCAAGAGCATTTCCTGCCTATCGATCTGGGGCAAATGGCAGAACCCATCACTCTAAAGTCTAGACCAGCAATGCCCGGTAGCGACAGTGTGACCCGTGTACGTCATTTTGCTTTTGCAGTACCCGCATAAACAAAGAAGAAAGCGATGAAGTCAATCTTAATAACATGCCTCGGTTAACCCAGTACCGCTAAAATACCCTAAGTTCAGAATGTAATCAACGCCAACCATTACTAGGGAGATATCTCACCTACTTTATTTCTCATGCTCAGTCTTCTGAATGTGGCCAGCATCTTCCACTTAGCGCGCATCTCAGTTTGCACTGGCCACATCGCTAGCGCTCAAGGGCCACCCACACTTGGCTGGTGGCGGCCGTACTGGGCAGTGCACGATTAGGCCACAGGCACGTAAAATCTGCTATCGTAAGCCAAACCCAGAGGACAGAGAGAGGAAGGGAAACCATAAATTCCTTACGCCCTGGGGCGGGCGCAGGAAATTTTGCAAGGCTCCGGTTCAGTGAGGCTCACTGCACAGCCCCGTCAACACACAACACCGGGCACCTCAGGCCCAACTCGAAGCCCTTTCTCCCTCCTGCCACAGGTTCTGCCCTGTGCCCTTCTGAGCAGGGGACAGTAGCGCCACCACCACAGGGTGACGTGGCATGAAGGCAGGTGGCCGGCGGCATTCAGTGGGCAGAGACGGGAGTATATACCGTTCACGGTGCGGCACTGCTCCGGGTCCCCGCCAACTGTGTAGTTCCCCCTCAAACTTCCATCCAGGTAAAAAGAACCTGTCAAGGACTTCACACTGTGGCTCATATGCACACCAAATAGTTTTGCATATGGCAGCGTGACCTGAATTTTCTAGGAAAGCCCTACCTGGGAAATCAGACAACCACTGTATTCCTTGTTGTTCAGATTGACTGACACTCGTTGCCACTGTGGAAAATCACACGACCAGCGGTGCCACCCAGTGTTTGAGCTGTCCCAGTCTGAACTGGTGGCTGTCGCCTTCCCGGTGACTTTATGCACAGATGCGGGCATCTGACAACTTCAAGTCTTCTGTGCAGTCAAGCCCGAAAAGGGAGTGTGTTCAAATGCTGATTCGCTTATGGCAAACTATGTCCCCTTTCCTTGATATCCTTTCTAGACTCCACCTGACCCGGGCTGGCAACATTTTCTTATAGTCATATATTAAATAATTTACACTTTATGGGTCATGTTGGTCTATCACCTACACTTCTTGTATTTAACAACCTTTTAAAAAGGTAATAACCATTATTAGCTCATGGCCTGCATAAAAACAGGCCTGGCGCTGCATCTGGCCCACAGACCACTTATTGTAGTATTGTTTTTGATTTTGTGTGTATGTAAGGTTACATTATATGTAAATTTCATTTCAGGACAGCAGAAGAGACATTACTAAGTATTTGTTACAGAATAGAAGCTGGGTTTAATAGTTGAGAATCATGGAACCATATGCCAATTCCAGCAGAAGGAAAAAATGAAAATCATTTCAGGGAAAGCGCGGGGTTGGAATTGAAATGTCTGATCTAATATCAGACGTCTCTGCTACTTCTGTCTAATTACCAAGATCCCAAACTCTTCTCACCTGCTGATCTGGAATCTCAAGTTCTCTCTGTAAGTCTTCTATCAGCGACACAACTCTTTCTCTATTCTCTGGGCAATGTTCCCTCACCCAGGTCTCTATCTCTGTGGGCAGGATGGTTAGGAACTGCTCCAACACCAACAGCTCCAGGATTTGTTCCTTAGAGCGCATCTTTGGCTTGAGCCATTGACAGCAAAGCTCCCAGAGTTTGTTGAAGGCTTCATGAGGCCCGGCTGCTTCTTTGTACTGGAACTGCCTGAAGCGCTGGCGGAAGACTTCACAGTCCGCGTCATAGTCTTGAAACACAGAGCCCTGATTCAAGGAAGCCTGGATTGCACAACCCAGGGCCACAGCCATCGCCCCCTTCTGGCCGTGTGCAATTTCTCTGGGGCCTGAAGTCTCAGATTCCAGTATTTCTTTGTGTACGTGTGTCAAGGGGGAGCCACCCACAGCTGAGGACAGGACAAAAGGAAAGGAGAAACAGCAGTGATTACCAGAAGCCATACTTACTTCCCTTAACTTGTTTACATTCCGCCAAAGCCCTAAAGCAGCAGACCTTAATCTTTTCTGGTGATTCTGAGAATCTAAGGAAGGCCAGGGAATCACTTCCTAGAAAAATACACATACACATCTAATGCTGCATCCATTTTCCAAACATTTACAAAATGTTCTACGCCCTACACGGACCCTCTAGAACTGTGCTGCCCAATATGGTAGTCACAAGTCCCATGTGGTAGATTCAGTTCAAAGTCACTGAAATTAAAAATGCAGTCTCTCATTCATACTAGTCACATTTCAAGTGCTCCACAGACATCGCTGTAGAAAGTTCTACTCGATAGTGTGACTCTAGAATTCCATTGACCCAAGGCTAAGAACCTCTTCCCTTAAATGAACCACCCTAGATGTGCTGCCCTGTGACTATACTCCCAAGCTAATACAAGCTATTTTGTGTCTCTGAATATATACAGGCCACAAAAGAAATAGCGGAGCAGTGGTGAACCACCCTGAAAGTCCCTGTGCTATTGAGGAACCCTTGGTTGCCTTAAATAACAGGCATCTTAGGAGAACCACACCTCCAAAGGCTCCAAATCCGCAACCTTTCATTCTTCTCCACTCAAGGCATGTGTACTTCAGCCCACATCAGCGTGACCCTCATCCTGCTATGGCATGCCTGCTGGCTTTCTCATGAGAAAAATACACTACATCAGGGCAGGCCATCAGCCATCTGGGCTGCATTAATTCCGAAGGCCACTGATGGCATTCATGTTGCTAAGTCCAAGTGCTGTTCTCGGCTTCCTGCATTTATTAGGTCAGGTAGCCCTCACCCAAAGAGAGGAGGTGGGGACTAGTATTATGCCATGAATTCAGATGAGGGAACTGAAAGTTGAGGCTCAGGAGGACTGAATAACTTGTCCCATGTCACCCAGTAAATGCCAGACAGAAATGGTGACAAGGTTAGAATGAACAGATTCCTGCAACGCTCATGTCTAAAAACATCCAAATGTTCTTAGGGCAATGCCTGAGGTCACAGACGTGTCTCAATACCAGCACCCACCCTAAGCTATGGGTCCTCTCTCTCTCTCTGCATTTGCCAAGATGCCTCAGGTACCTGTCCTCTTCCCTGGAGTGGGACAAAGAAAAAAATACTCATGATCTTCCTACCTAGTCATTCCAAATGTACACTGTGATCCTATCACCCCTTATCTCGATGGTAACCTGGACTTCAGCGGCAGACCATCCAGGCGGGATAACCTGCTCACTTTGTGAGCCTGACACCCAGCGCTTCTGTCTGTAACATGAAAATGATGATAGCATCGATTTCACAAAATTTCCTGTGTCGGATGCAACTGCACGGAAGCGAACGA